ACTGCTGATGTTGCTGTTGGCCCTGACCAAGTAGGCTGCCGGTTGTTGCTGTTGCGTCTCCTGCCACCGCAGCGGTTCCAGGACCCCGGCCCCGGCCCTGGCCCCGGCCACGAGAGGAAGAGAAATTGTTGTCGGACGGCGGAAGCAGCTGGTTGTTTGGAGGGGTTTTTGGAGCAGCGATTGCGGCCAAAACAGTGGAAAGAGAACCTTTTTGGGCGTCTAAGCGGAGGACTTCATCATTCAGCATACTGATGGCTTGATCCCAATCAACACCATTCTGATTGATGAGGGCAGCAGTAGTATTGTATTCAGTTGGCAAACCCCTGACCAGTTGAAGTACAAGACGGGACTCGGATACAGGGTTATCGACATCGGCCATTTTATTAGCAATATCAGTCAATCGCTGACAATAATCTTCAACGGAGGAACACGCTGACAAAGACATATTGCAGAACTTGGTTTCCAATGATGCAGCACGTGCCTTCTTGTTACTGAGATAGATTTTCTCGAGTTTGGACCATGCAGCACGAGCCGTAGTAGTGCTGTCATCCATGACTCGTTTGAGAAGGTCATCAGAGAGAGTGCTGAATATCCATTGAAGGACAAGAGCATCGATTTCATTCCAGGCATCATATTCCGGGGAAGATGATGCCGGAGAAGGAGTACCATCAATATGATCCATCACTTTGTAGGCGACAGCGTGTAATCGAAACAGCCGGGTCCATTGAGAATACGTGACATTGGTGCCGTCTAGGGTTTGAATTTTACTCTGGATATTTGTTACAGAGTATGCTGGATGTAAGGATTGGGGCTTTGGTGGCTGTTCGACAGCATCTTTAGTCATTGTGATGACAGTTTCAGACGTATCCGATCAGAAGAAAAAAAAAAAAGTAAAAAAGAAGAAGGGCGGCAGAAGGGATTGTGCTCAGAATTTCTCTGATACCATAAAAGAGTTTATGGTGTGAATTTCTGAATGTCTATTGAACCTGAAAGCCCTTTAAATAGGGAATGATACAACATAATAAAAGGAAAAATTATATACACCAAATCAATCACAATAATAATAATCACAGAAAATCAGCCGAGTATCTCGGCTGATTATATGCATTGCTAAGAGTGGTTCCCCAGTCGCCGCGCTTGTCGGAAATCTGGTGGGTAGTGGGACCTACCCAAAACACAGAACCAAGCGGACCACATTCCATGTGAGTGTTATGTATACCTCTATGTCCATTTATTATGTACTTGTAGCCTTTTCCAACAAATAATATCCACCACCACCAGTGCACCAAATAGATCACGGTGTATAATAATAATAATAATAATAATAATAATAATAATAATAATAATAATAATAATAATAATAATAATAATAATTGGTGGAACTCTATAATAAAATGAGTCTTGATGCTCATCATATCTTGTTGAGTTTTGCAAGTAGAAAAACAGTTGCAGATGTGATAACAGGGATAAAAACATCATTTGGGATTAATTTTGGCGCCAAACGTTGC